CATATATTATTTGAATGTCAACTGTATAAAAAAGAGAGGGATCAGTATCTTGGACCGCACAGTAGACAAATGACCTATTGGGATCCTTATATTAAAACAACATATTTCATATGCAATCAGAATTCAAAAATTACATATAATACAGCCCTTTATTTGAACAAAACAATACAGTTGAGATCTGCACATGTGGATCTGATCGGAGTCAATTGTAGGGGTGATACAGAAATATGATTTGCATCTTTGTACTTTTTTAATTTCAATTTGTTTCTCTTATCCTATTTTTAATATATGGTCTTATTAATGTCTTATGTTTTATATTCTGTATCCTGATATGGCCTAATGGCTAATCAATAATAATAAACTGATCTACTTGGCTCCTTCCAATGGGTAATGTTACTGATGATATTCTTACTGTGCATGCATATTCCCAGCAATTATATTAGGCAAGATGTTTGCATGTAGTTCCTTAACCAGTTACATATGAGTGTATCTGATAGGATTAGGGTGGTAGCAAAGGTTTGCATCTCCTGCTAGGATGGTCAAGTGTTGTACTATGCAGATGACAGTCTATCTGAAGTTAACCTGTATTTGAAAGACTTATCCAGTAGAAGTCAGGTTAGAGAAAAACAATCATAAGAAAGGAGATCAGGGACTTGCTATTCCCTGACATTAACAGTTAGCATCTTAACGAACTTTATCAGTTAAAAATCTGCCCCATTATACTGAGATGTACTGTATTTATCAATACATTTTGACAGTTTATAGTTTCTAGTGCTGTCTTATATGTGTTTAATAGGATATAAGTTCCACTGGCCTCAGTAAGACTTAATGCTGAGTGTAGGATTCAAAGCCACATTGTCTAATTTACCTTGACTTTGAAATGACTGTACTATTATTTTCTGGTTAAATTATGCATCCATTATTTACAATGTATAGGGATTTTCAGCAGGATTTGGTTGTTAATTGCTAACTTTCTTTTCCTGTCTTATTTCCTTTTGGTTCTGTTCCCCTCAACCCACGCCTGCAGTCTGCACCAACAATGAGAGAGAAATTGAGACAGATCAGCAGCTGGATAACTTGTACCTGAAAGCTTTAGAGGGATTTATCACTGTCATCACACAGGATGGAGACATGATCTTTTTGTCAGAAAACATTAGCAAATATATGGGCTTGACACAGGTAAGAGTATTCTCTATTCATTTCTCATAGCAAGCTGGATAATATAACTCTGCTCCTTCTCATATTCTCTCCTTGATAAAAGGAATTTTTAAAAAATAAGATTGAACAAAATATTTCCTGTAAATCTCAGACACAAAAGATAACTGTACTGGTGTCTCTGCAGCACTGTTCCAGTGAAGAGAGCAATGCATTTGCTTTAGGATTAGAGACACAGGGAAATGCTCTGAAACCATAAATGGTTCTACATATACAGCTGTGAGGTGTAGAAGAAGAATAGCCATTGGTGAAGGGATATGAGTGCACATAATTGCCCAGTAAATCATACCATCAGTTTGGACAGTGTGCAACACCTGTTTGGAAGCAGGGAATGAGCTGTTTTGTGCAGGTGAGATTCAGCCATGCATCCTCCTTTTGGTTTCATATCCTTTTAATTTCATATTGATGGTCTAGTTTTGATTTCCATTATTGTCTAGAGTTCAACTAAAGATTTAGGTGTGTTCATTTGGAACTGTTTTTAATAAGGGCAGGCCTGTACAATAAGTTCACAGGATGATCAACCCTGGTCTCCAGATGGTGCTGTTAAATCCCAGATTGAGATAGCAATGCTCCTCCTTCATGGCCTTATCATGGATGAGGCAGCCAATGCAGCATGTGTAACTGAGATATGGGTGGGCTTGAAGGGGAGTATCCCCTTCTCTGAGGTATGCCCAGATGGATTTCAAGTTTAGAACTAGCTGTGATCCCAGAGCAGAGGGGGTGGGATGGCAGTTGTCATTCAGGAAGCCCTAATAGCTTTTAGAGGCTTTGCACTGCAGATAACCAGATATGAAACCCTGTGATTGAAGTTGGGCTCTAGGGAGCAGTTGAATTTGTTGCTGCTGTTCTGGCCTTCCTGCTATGCAGCAACATCCCTGCCTGAGGTGCTTGACTCTCTCACCCCACTGCCTGTGGAGTCTCCAAGGCTGATAGTTCTGGGAGATTTTAAATTCCCTTCATGGGGCATTGACTCAGGATTTCACATGGTTACCATGGGCTGTCCCAAGTTATTGAAAGCCCAACACACGCAGGTAGTCACATGCTAGATCTGCTTTTTATCTCAGGACAGTTGCAACATAATTTGAAGGTGGAGGACATTACCATCAGTCTTTTGTCAGAGTCGGATCACTCTGCTTTGCAGCTAACTGGGGCCAAAAAGGAGCTATTTGATTAGTCTGTCCCAGGTAACTAATGGACCTGATGGAGCTTCATGTTTTTCCTAGAGTTCAACTGAGGCCTTGATCTCCATCTGGAATGGGAGTATAATGAGGGCTGGGATCAGATTGCTCATATGTGGGCTCTCCCTGTTTGCTGATCCCATGGAGCTCCTTGATTTTCTAAGGAGCTTTGGAAGAGTGCCACTGGAGAAAGATGAAGAACAAACAAGTTCCCAATAAGGAGGCCAGCTGCTGGCAGCTGCTCTTAAATAGTACAATGGTGGTAAAACTCAGTTGTGCCTTTGTTTCTGGATGAAGCATTCTGCTCAGTGCTCCGAAACTCCTGATGCATCCTCCGACTTGGTATTCTGCTAGGATCTGGTCCCTTATCATCTGACTCCTCCCACATCTGCTCCTGTTGAGTCAGCCTCAGGTGGTTGATTACTTAACCTGTTGGATCAGGATCTTCAGCACTGACTTCTCCAAGAGAGAGGAGACTATAACAGTTACCTGGAAAGCATTTGATCCTGTGACTCCTGAGGGAAGAGATAGGATCTTCATGACTGTAGTGATAACTTCTTGAGGCGAGGGCACATCATTACTCTTTTAAGGCAGGTGGAATCACCCTATCTCTAAATGATAGATTTACTACTACATGGATCCAATCTCATATAATCTCCCGGGAGGCTTTAATTAACCAGGAGGGAGATGGTTCTAATTAACAGGTAGCCAGTCTAAAATCCAATAGTTCTGCACAATTTTAATTCAGTTTGTAACTTTCCCTTTTTGGGTAAAATTGTTAACCTAAAGCTCCAGAGTGCCCTGGAAGAAAAAGAGATCTTGAAACCTTTGCACAGATCCATCTAGTGTGCCAGTTCTGCCCATTCCTAGGGTAGAAGGCCCTTTAGACAGTCAGTCATGCTGTAGTCAGTTCTTGGATGGACCACCACAATGCACTCTACATGGGACTGCCCTTGAAGATCACTCAGAAGCTACAGCTGGTCCAGAATGCAGCAGGCATGCCATATTACACCCATGTGTCATTGATGCTTTGTGAGCTGCACTGGTTGCTCTTTAGTTTCTGGATGCAATTCAAGATCCTGGTTATCATCTGTAAAGCCCTTCATGTCATAGGGCCTGGTTACTTAAGGGCCCACCTAATAATTTCTGTCTGCCAGTAAGATCAGGCAGAGTGGGCATGCTCCAGGTCCCTTCAATCAAGCAGTGATCTATAGGGACTTATGAATCACCCCTTCTCTGTTGTGGTGCCTGCCCACAGAATAACATTCCCCTGGAGATCCATACAGCTTCCTCCTTCCTTCCTGCAGCTGCTCCACAAATCTCTGAAAACCTGGCTCTCCTTCCAGGTCTAGGGTTAAGGGGACTGTTGAACCTCTGTTCACTTTCTTTTGATGTATTAGGTTGTTTGTTTGGGACATGCATATCTTTTTTCTTTTATTTTACTGTTTCCTATTTTTAGAGTTGTAAGCCACCCAGAATCACTGAGAGCCAGGCAGCTTCTAAATCCAATACAACAGACAAACAAACAAGCAAAGATTATCTGGACCTGTTTCAGTCAAGTGTTAGGCTGGAGCGTAGCATGAAGAGAGCATTGATCACATGTGTTGATGACCACTGGCAAAATGGGATGGGGGTGCTTCAAGCATCCTGGTTCTTTTTCATATCTCAGCATCTTTCAATACCATTAATCATGGTATCCTTCTGGACCTGGATTGGGAGTGGGAGACATGGTGTTGAGGTGGCTCTCTTCCTTTCCGGCCAGTTTTCATGAAACTGCTGGTTAAGTCACTCATCGAATGAGGTCAGGTGTCATCAGTACACTGATGATACTCAACTCTGTATCTTGCCTCCCGGTTGACCAAGTGTGATGCTGTTGAGATCTTGTCCCAGTGCCTAAAGGCTGTTTGGGTCTGGATGGTGAGGGACAGGTTTAAGCTGAATCCCAACAAGATTATGTTGCTATGGGTGTGCGGTTCTTCCAGTGCTAGTAATTCTCCATTTTGGGCTCAGATTTGGGTGGCACTCCCCCAAATGGAACTGCTATGCAATTTTAGGTCTTCCTGGACTTATAGGTCCTGCTTGAATATGCTGTTTCCTGGCCTAGGAATCCCTTCTCATAGTCATTTATGCCTTTATCATCTCACATATGGATTATTGTAATGCGTTCTACCTGGGACTGTCCTTGAAGACCACTCAGAAGCTACAGCTGGTCCAGAATGTAGTGGCATGAGCAGTTATAGAGACACTTTGGTATGCTCATGTAACACCTCTGCTATATGAGCTACCCTGGTTACCAGAGTCATTGTTGAGTTGGGTAGCCTTATAGAACTAAAATATAAACAAACAAGCCAGGGTATCAATTAAATCTGTTTTTTTTTAAATTCTGTCACTTGGCTAAAGGACAGAATTGCTTAACTTTTGAAGAATTCAGAGTGAATGATAGGTAGACTATATTTAGCTTAGTAAATCACAAGTAGCATAAGGCTGAATAAGAATTTTACACATAGTTCATTGTCTTCTGAGATTTATGAGTGATATTCTACTTTCATTAGAAATAGCCCTCATCCTCTTCTATAAAAAGAGCTATTGAACAACAATGGTTCTTGGTTACATTCCACAATAGCTTGTTGTGTAATCAAAACAATTGAAGGTTATCATTGAAGCTATTGCCAGCCCTTAGAAGAGAATGGGAATGTATATTAAATAATATATATATATATAGTAATAGACTGTGAATTTATAACAAAAGGACATTTTTATTGTTAATAGAGCTCTAACAATAGCAAATGCCTTGCAATGACTACATTAGAAGAAAAACACATGCCAGAAAAACATTATCCTTACCATGTGGTTTCTATCAAACTTTATCATGTGCCTTTTTTTGTATTTGGGGATGGATGAAATATAAAACTGTCTATCTGTCTATCTGTCTATCTAATTGCTCAGGTAAATTCATTTTGTAATATTATTTTATTTCTTCACTTTTTCTCAGGTGATGTTTATTCTATCTGTGCTGCCAACAAGATGGAAATGCTGTTCTTGATTTTTTTCTGTCTTTCTAGGTGGAGTTGACCGGGCACAGCATTTTTGATTTCACTCACCCATGTGATCATGAAGAAATTCGGGAAAATCTAAGCTTGAAAAATGGTAAATAATTTTTAAAATGTACTTGATCCCCTGGAGGATTTATTAACCTGGAGATTGAGTTTTCAGGTTTGTGTTATATGTACATATTATTTATGAGCAGGCAATCCCTGGTCCAAGGTTGGTGGTACAATCAGATGACTCCTATTGGTTAATTTAGGTTAGTGTGGACATAACCTCATCCTTCTAGCAGTATTCTCCAGGTCCATTCTGTGTTGGGCAGCAGGAGAATCCAGCCTTTTTAAACTGGGATGTCTCCCTGTACTCACCAGGTCTCTGGGCTGATCTCTGGCTTGGAGATCTGTCTTGGAAAGATGGACCAATTCAAATAGCAGCCAACTGTATTCAGAAGAAGCCTGAATTACAGCAGCCAAATTGTGGAGGGGTGTGTGTGTGTTGTGAAGCAGCAGGGGTTTCTTGGCCATTTCATGGTGCACCAGCCCCACATTACTCCTTCCTACCCTCACTCCCCGTGCCTTCTTTCAGTTGATAAACGTGCCCCTTTTAGATTCACCCATGCAAAATACTTGTGCAAAGCCTTGAGTAAACTCACCAGCCTAGCCATCTGTCAAACGCATCTTCTTCCCAGGACCACCCCATATTTAGGAGAATGATCTCCCGACAGGAGGATGTTTTCCTGACAGTTGGTGATGTTTGATGGAAGGGGAAGGGAAGTCGGTGCAATCTACCCATCCATTTCTTTAATACGGTCTGCACATAGATTAGCCAGAAGGGACTGCTGCCCTTGAGATGAAGGAACCTTCTCCTCCATACATTACCTAGTGCCTGTTCAGATGTTACTTGTCTGTATTTCTAGGAGAAATTGAGGGGAAAAAAGCTAGCTTCACCTGTTCATTCCCCACTTCTCCTCAGCATAAGAAGACAATAGTAGCATCTATGTTATGGAATCTGGGACAGTCAGAAATCAAATGGACATGGAGATATTTTGTTAAAGTCTATCAGAGCAAACCCAGTAAAATAATTTGTAGCACTTTATACCCAACAATACTTTTGTGGAATATTATTTATTTGTATTTGTTTTAAACATGTATACATGTGTATTACATATATAATCATATATATCATATTAAATGTGTTATTTTTTAAGCTGTCACATATTGTTTTTCCTGATTAAAGTTGTAAGTTTCTTCTGCAGAGAATAGTACCTGGTGAGGGAGCTTATGAGTCTG